GTGGGATTGAGTGCGCGCTCAGCAAGTTTGTCGATGACACCAATCTGTGTGGTTCGGTTGATATGCTGCAGGGAAGGAATGCCATCCAGAGGGACCTTGACACACTTGCGAGGTGGGCTGATGCCAACCTCATGAAGTTTAACCATGACAAGTGCAAGGTCCTACACCTGGGTGGGAGAAATCCCAGGCAGAGCTACAGGTTGGGCAGAGAAGAGATTCAGAGCAGCCCTGCAGAGAAGGACTTGGGGGTGCTGGTCGATGAGAAAATGAACATGGGTTGGCAGTGTGTGCTCACAGCCCAGAAAGCCAAAAGTATCCTGGGCTGCATCAAAAGGAGCATGACCAGCAGGTCGAAGGAGGTGATCCTGCCCCTCTACTCTGCTCTTGTGAGACCTCACCTGGAGTATTGTATGCAGTTCTGGCATCCTCAACATAAAAAGGACATGGAACTGTTGGAACAAGTCCAGAGAAGGGCCACGAGGATGATCAGGGGACTGGAGCAACTCCCGTACGAAGACACACTGAGAAAGTTGGGGCTGTTCAGCCTGGAGAAGAGAAGGCTGCGTGGAGACCTCATAACAGCCTTCTAGCATCTGAAGGGGGCCTACAATGATGCTGGGGATGGACTCTTCCTCAGGGACTGTAGTGACAGGACAAGGGGTAATGGGTTAAAACTTAAACAGGGGAAGTTTAGATTGGATATAAGGAAGAAGTTCTTTACTGTAAGGGTGGTGAGGCACTGGAATGGGTTGCCCAGGGAAGCTGTGAATGCTCCATCCCTGGCTGTGCTCAAGGCCAGGCTGGACAGAGCCTTGGGTGACATGGTTTAGTGTGAGGTGTCCTTGCCCATGTCTGGGGGGTTGGAACTGCATAATCTTGAGATCCTTTCCAACCCTAACTATTTTATGATTTTATGATTCTACGCCTATCTACAATAGCACATTTATCAACAGGGAGGGTCATGACAGAGAGAAACCATCCCTACTGCACAGTGCATAACACATTTGGGAATCCTTTCTAATAAAAGGGGATTTGATTAAGACCGGCCAAGTACCACAGATCAGCAACTGAACCAGCAGTAAAGAAGGAAGAGTAGCTTAGACTTAAGAGACTTCAATTTGCTGAGCTACCAGGCACTTTTCAGGAGAAGCTACTCCATAAGTCACTCCATGCCCTACAGGAGGGTAGGAAGGGACATACACCAAAAATCAGGGTGCGTAGACTTAGTTTGGTAATGTGGCCTTACCACAAAACTCTAGTCAGGCAGAATACCCAACAGGTATGTTTAACTTCTAAACATTCACAGTGGGTTTTTTGGTTTTTCTTTGTTTTTTGTTATCATAATTATTATCACTATTATTATATTTATTGATATTTCCATGCTTAAGCACTGCCTTGCCAAAGGCCCCTAGAGGATTTCCCAGTGACTGGATCACGCTGCTGTGGCAAGTCCAAGCAACAAACATCTGCAAACCGTGATCTTGCTGCTCCAAAGTGTATCTCCAGGATGCTGCTCCTTGCTCTTACCATGCATCCAGGCTTCCCAGGAACACAGTATGAACCATGCCATGCTGCCAGCTCTGTGTGCTTGCATGGGCTATCACTGGCTAGAAGAGTTCCCGGACTCTGAAACCACCATCAGTAATTTCCACCCAGGGAAGCCGGAGGGGGGTGCAGTGAGCACTTGATGGAAGTGCTGGCTGACCTGCTCCTGAACTCAGTTCACTTGGCGTCATGTTTTAACCTCACTACACTTGGTCTGCCAGCAGTACCAGCTGGCATTTACAGGGCAAAGAGACAACTTCAGTGGTTCCTACTCCTCTTCCTTCCCTAGGAACCTCAGCTGTGCCCACACTGACTCCAGAATCAAGATGGTTTGACTGAAAACCAGAGATACGGCAAGTGAAATTACACAAGGAAGATGGTTACAGGAAAGACCCCAGAGTGCTGGTGGGCCATGTAAAATGACCTTTCTCCAGCCTGACAGTGCAAATGTAATTATTCCAACAAATTATTTTCATGACTTCATATAGCGCCTTGCAGCTTTCTAGCAAGGTTAATTAGATTCCTCAATTCAAAACCTATCTGCTCTTAACCAGCTTTTAATATGCTGAAATCCAGTTTTCTAAATTCAAAGTAATAAAAATGATTAGCTGACAGCTATCTGGTGTAGTACAATTACAATGGCATTTAGACCTCAGGCAGAAGATACTTAAAGCAAATCTGAGTCAATGTCTCTGCCCATTTGTTCTTTTTCTGATTTTTTTGATCAATGTGCCATATGAATCTTGTACAATCCATGCTACCATGCTAAACAAATAAAGAACAAAGGCAGAGATATTGATTGAGACAGTTAACCAAAGTTGAAAGACACTTTTTTTCCTTCCACACTTAATTTGTTCTTTCCCTATGAGCATGAAGTTACTGAAAGGTACTAGCTGACAGCTCAACTGGATGGGTATTTAGCTCTGACATAGGCAGAATTAGGACAAAATTCCTGGCCGGCACTGCCATATCAAAAAACTGCATCCACTGTGACTCCAGAGACCATCTTCCCCTGGGAGTAGCTTGGGCTAGAGCAGACCTAGGAGGGTGAGGGCAGCCCACCTCTTTGATTTTATCCAACCATAAAAAGCAGTTGTGCTCCAGAACTGCTGGGTTTATGTTTTCTTTGGTAGGTATATAATTAGTTGTGGCCATGTCTCCCAAATGGCAGCACGGGGCACAGCATGCTTAGATTGCTGAGGAGGAGTTCAGCCCAAAATGTTTCTTCAGCACATCAAGAATGCCAAGGCTGAACACCTCTTCAGAGATGACCTGCAGTGACACAGACTCAATGCAATTAGAAGATCAATCAGGTGCAGCTTGTAATTAAATATTACCTGCCCAAGGTAGGACTAGGCTTGCTGTTTGGTTTTCATCTTTCAGCTTGCATCATGCATGATTATTCTATCTTTGATCATGGTACCACTTATATACACAAAACTGGCAAAATTTTTGAATGCTCTGGAGCCTCATTTCCATTTTCTTGTCTCCTACTAAATTAAGAACTACTGGCATGGCACTGCTCTGACCTTCCATCAGATAGCCACATTGATGACCTAACGCTGATAGACTTTATGTCCCAACCCTTTAAGCTATGCATCCCTTTGGATGAAAAACTTTGATCTACCACACTCTAAAACGGAGCAGAACCATCTTAGTGATACAGTATTATTTTGTAAAACCTGAAGATTTCAGCTCCACAAATACAAGTGCTAAACAGAACTAAAGCTTCACTGCAGGAAGCAATTTCTGAGCTGTGAGGAAAATTAATCACTAGAACATCTTATCAGGGTAGGTGGTTGACTCACCATTGCTTGAAGTCTTTAAAATGAGATTAGTATTTTTTTTTTTAGTCATGATTCAATCATGTTTCTAGCAGAAACTGAGAGTAGGACATTAGGCAGTATAATGGCAAGGTCCTTTCTGACCTTGGAGCCTGTGAATCTCCAAGTTCTTTGTTCACCTGCCTACTTTCTCAGGCTATGAGGAGAACTGGGTGGGTTTTGGTTCATCAAGCAGCTCCTGCCACTCAGAGCTCTGCATTAAGAAAATGACTGTAAACAAACCTCATGCTTCAGGGCTTCAGCCATTTGTCTGAAAGGAATGGGGAAAAAGTTCCTCCCTCTTGTCCGCCCACACTAATGGCTAAATACCTGTCACATTTGTCTGGCTGTTACTTTGCTTTTAAAACACTGAAGTGTTAACACAAATGGACACAGGCAGAGATGAAGTCAAATGCAGCAGCACAGAAAATGCTCTCTGGTTAGCCTCTCTTCAGTCATTCTTGCTCACACCTCAGATCTGTGCTAGTCATCAACTCTGAAGACCATCAACATTTATAGACAAGACGTTTCATCTGTTAGGGTGGAGATGGTAGAAGGTAAGGTACTGATGGAGAATGAGGACTGATATCAACCCCATCTACAAGGGCAATGTTTGTTTGATGAGAATATCTTGAACTTCTCATGTAATCAGATGCGTGTTTATTAATGAAATCTTGGTCCCACCCACTTTCCAATTAAATGAAACCACAAAAGTTTCTTTAAGCCAGAAAAGTTTTGGTATAACCAAAATCTATTGCTAACAGACCTAGGGGACAATATTTTATTTTATTTTATTTTTCCCTGGAAATTATGAAGTAAAGGAAGACAAAGAACACAAATGAATTGCCTACCCCAGTCTTTAACTCTGCAAACTGTAGTAGTTTGTTTCCTTTGTTTCCTAACCACACTATCACTCAAGCCTGTAGGAAAATAAGCATACACACAAGATGAATCACGTGTGCCCATGGCCCCTTGACTTTAATGTAGAGTTCACAGGCCATATCACCTGTGTTTTATATAAAGGAAAAATACATACTTAGACCTATAGATGCCTAATTCTGTTGTATACCACTTAAGAAGAAAATTTGCTTATCTTTTTTTCCAGGCAAATAAGATAACATGGTTATAAGCCAATCATTTCAGATTTGTCTTCCTTGTACTTGTTAGACCCAGTTCTGGGCTAACAGGTCCTCATGTAAAACCAGCCTGCTTGACTCAAAATGGATTTCCTTTTAATCTATGACAGCATACAGAAAGTGAAAATTGATGCCTTAGGAGCAGAACATATTTATACTGCCAGATTTTTTGCAGCTGCAATGAGAAGGGATAGGGCAGGTGGGCAAGACAGGATACTACACCTGAATTCAGCCTGGTAACCTGGGGACAGATGGTGTGAAACTGAACCAGACACTGAAAGATTCACTTCATAACCAGAAAAACTATAAACATACAGCAAGTGAGCATGGGATTTATGCTGGAATTACAGAGGAATTCCCATAGACGATTACACTTCCAGGCCAGGCATGGAAAGCAAATCCATCAATATGAATGCCACTACATTAACAGTGCAGCTGTCAGGCCTCTTTGCTACCAAACCTGGTAAATTCAGAAAGGGGCTATGGCACTGCTCACCAAAGTAGTCATCAGAAGGAGGATTCTCCATGTCATACAGCATTTTCTTGGTCAGATGCTCCAGCTCATCTTCAGGCCTGAAGACAGGAGTGCTTGATGCAGGTCCAGAGCTTGGGTACCCACTCTGAAAAAAAAAAGTACAGTCTGAGATGTGGTATAAAAGCATGGTACCAGGATCTATTGGCTGTTCAATACTGAACTTCATTCTTTGTCTTACTTTTGCTTTTTTTTTTTTTAAACTCAAGCAATTCATGCAAGTAAACATCTTGTTTAATGTAATGACAACTGACTTCTAAAAACATCCAGTGAAGTGCTATATGTCCTCCTAGAATAAGAAGCATTCTGTGACTCATAATTAGATGTCTACTAGGTAGCACATAGTAATAAACAAAGGAGAAAATTATTCCAAGGATAACCTGATACAAACATTTTCCAACACTGAAAAAGGCTTTGGAAGCATTCCAGTTTGGATTTGGCAAAAGCTTCCATCACTTAACAACGTAATATAAAAAATTCTAGAACAATCATCACTACAGTGTTGGAGTATATGGACAAAGACAGATAATCCCAATCTGCTAGTTCTGTTCTCTTCTTGTTTCATAGAATCATAGAATCATAGAATAGTTAGGGTTGGAAAGGACCTTAAGATCATCTAGTTCCAACCCCCCTGCTGTGGGCAGGGACACCTTATGCTAAATCATATCATCCAATACAAATCCTGCTGTTAACATTAGTGAGAGTGGGAGCTGGTCCACAGATTTTTAGTACTAGGGATACAAAGGTTTTAATATGCGCTTAGAAACTGAGACCTCTTGGCCTTCATATGCTAACAGCTGGCATACAGTGTTTACAGTCTGTCACAGTAAGCCTCCTCCCTGGAAAACAGCAGAAGTATGGGCATATTTTGAGAAGCACAGAAATAGTCTCATGCCTAGAAGTTTCTTAAATGAAGCTAAGTTTGGTGTCCAGAATTAGAAAATCAGTCATTTAGAGATCAAAACATGCTGACATCAGCTTTCCATGTGTGCACTGCTTTCCTGAAAATTAACTTATGAAATGCAACATTTCAGTAAAGCAAGTGATTTCATTGATTAATTGCTGCCTTCAGCAATGACTGGACCTTAGGTATGAAACTTATAAGCCTTAGTCTACAAGGAAACATTTTCCCATGCTCCATACCTACTTAAATGGGAAGAAAATGTAAAGTTCCCGAGGAAACAATACACTGGCCACTTCTATCTGGCTTATAGGGACTACATCTGACATGATGAATTTTTATTGAGACATTTATGTTCAACAGAGAATGGCATTTTTAAAGCACTGAAAGAGAATTAGCTAAATGCTTTTATGCTTTCTTCTTTCAGGCAAGGAGATTTCAAATAAGACATCAATCAGTGTAGAGAAGGTCTCAGAATGGTGCTTAGCAATAATACTTCAATCATCTACTCCCAGAAACCAAACACTTGGATGTTCCTGATCTTGTCATATTTTTTTTTCTAGGGCCTATTCTAAACTGTACACCATCACCTCTGCACTTGCTGACCTGCTCTATCTCACAGGCATTGCACCCGTGAGTGCAGCAGATTACTATATCCCTTGGAAGTGCTGGATTTGCCATGCACACACAATACAGAAATTTCACCTGCTGCCTGCCCACCAACTGCTCTCTAAGAGTAGCAGCAGTGCACAAGGGAAATGGGTGGCCCAGTCCCTGGAAGAAAAGGCACCTGAAAGAAGCTGTGGGCTGGATGAATTTCCCTGGAGGGCCATGCGAGGTCTATTTGCAGTAGATTCAACCTTCCTGATTGAGAATACAGATTGGACCTACCGTACATTCAGGTTTCCCCAGAGCTGTTTTCTTTTTCTGCTCAGTTTCTTTTTTTTCTCCTCAGCAATAGTCAAGGATTTTGTGCATTTGTCCAGGATTTCTAAATGCCTAGTAGTTGTTCTGAGGAAGCTGTTGAACATCTGGAAATCCTGAATGTCAATACACAGCTCAGTAAACTCTACTGTACAAATGCAACCATGTTGATGTGTTTGGGTTACCACAACTTAGTTTTTCATGTGGGAAAACAAGCCTGCATGGTGCACAGAACTTGCATTTGCTTTCTATGTCATGTAAGTGCCATCTGTGTAGGATATATCATTTTGGTGAGGATAAGGCCATTCGTATGACTAGGAGTTTCAGAGCCAGGTACTTGACCCAGCACACCCAGACACCCTTGGCAAGTGCTTAGTGGCTCTTTTTAGAAGGCTAGTTGACTACTATTTCATTAGAAATAATAAATACCAGAACCCTGAAAAAAGGTTTATTAATAAGCTAATTAAAGGTGCCAAATGTAAGGCATTTAATCTTGGAACAACCTATTTTTCCCTTTGCTCACTTGTTCCTAAGAGCCAATCATGAATCTTGCCTGAATGTATATTTTAACGCAGCAAGTGCAGTCAAGGATTTATTAGCTTGAGAAATCAATATGGCAACTGAGCCTCTTAAAATATTATTCCATCTATTGTACTTATTTCAGTTTCCATGCAGAAAGGAATGACCATTGCCACCTCATCGACTTTCCTAGACTTTGTACTGAGAAAATAGTATGGTGTGAAGCTGCTGATGGTCCCCATGCCCGTATTTCCCCCCATTAGCAATCACCAGTGTGGTACAAATGCATGGATATGCCATGATCTAGCCTGTTCTGTGAGGCTCTCTCAACACATAATCTGAAACACTGCTTTTACTGTTGGGCCTTATAATATTAATGAACCAAAACTGAAGGCATGAGCTGCTCTATGGTCACAGAAAAGGGAAGCAAGATACATGGAACTGAAGCAATTTGCCCATCATCACACATGGGCTCTAAGGCAAAGACAAAACCTGCATGCAGGCTGCTAACCCTACCCATGTCCTCAGCCTGGCACACCATCCACCAGGTCTGGACTCAGCATTACAGACCTACACTGGCAACTCTCTGACACAAAGCCATCACACCTGCAGACTACCACCAGCCAGGCTTTGGCAGGACACCCTGGGGAGATGGTGTGGGAAGCCTCTCCCTTTCTTTCATGCCAGCTTCCCACACCTCCTGACTGGGAGGCCTGCTCATGCCTGCTTCAGCAAGGGCTTGGGCTGTGACACTTAAAATGAAAGACCAAAATCTGCAGGTTTTAAGTTCTGTCTGACTCTCTTTTGTTTTGGAGGCCACATTGCCTCATACACACAATAAACAGTCAGCTTTCATATTTTATCTACATTGCACTTTTTCCAAACCAGGCAGATTTCTTATCCAGTACTCAAAGTTAGCAAAAATAACAAATGCCAACCACAACATTATGAGACATTTTAACTATTTTGACTAAAATGCTGTGCCTTTTTGACCAACATTTCAGCAGTGCTAGGCACATCTTCTTCCTCTTCACATGACACACGATGACTATGTGCCTCCAGGAAAATGCACTTCATGCATATGAACATGCTGTTGAGTTTGCTGGGACATGCACACACACAAACAGAGAGAAAAGTGTATCCTTAGTTCAATCTAAAATGCTTGTTTCAGCAAACCAGTTTCCTTCCTCCTCCTTTGTTAGGTCAGGGTAAAAATATAACTCTGGCTTTTCTCACAAAACAGAATTGTGTTGTTACTGTTTATTAAACTTCCTCTATTTTTTTCCTGATCTCTACAATGATCAAGGCTGTCTAGAAATCCAATCTGCTGTCTAATCTATCACAGTTATCTTCATGCATTCTCTTTTCTCCATGATGCCTCAATGTACACAAACATATACTCCCTTATCTAGACGTAGCCCAAAAGCTGGGTCTGTGCCAAATTGTAACATGGCCTCCCAAATTCCCTGAGCACCACTCTGTCTGGCTAACCACAGCAACACCAGGGATGAGAAACTAACTCATGAAAATAGAAAAAAGCCTTGGTCACCAAAAACCCAGCAGGAAGGACCATGCTTTGGGAGCATGAGCACATGAATCCAACCTTGGCTACTATCAACAAAAACCGAGCAAAAACCAAGGGAAGAGCATGACTGCACTCACATATGCAGATGCAAATGCATTCATGAAAAAACACCGTCCTGCATGCTTAATTAATAGGATGTTTAAGAAAATACAGGTATTCCCAGGGTTAAACCCTGTGATAGAAAATATCTTCATGCTACAAATGAAAGGAAGTATGTTAATTGTTTGTGACAATCTCAAAGCACTGCAACAACATCTGGCCGTCTTCCTCATTAAAGTTCAGTTCCTAAAAAGCCAGGTCAAAAGAAGTAGTCTTGTGGAATCACTGCATAACTATTTTGGTACATGAAGTTGATACTTGTTTCAGGGCTTCTATGGCACATGTTTTCTACTCTGGACCTCACTGGTAGTCAGCTGTCTCAGATGTAATGGCTGCCCAGAAAAGGGAGATCTGCAGTTGATGCAGTGCATTCACCAACATGAATCTTCCCCATCCACATATAAATATTTACCCAAATGGCTAAAAACCTCAGCCCAAAATCTACAGTGACATCTAAAATGATGCTGTGATGAATGCGCTGTGATTCAGAGTGCACTGCATGTGGTCATTTTTCTTGCCCATTTGCAAATGTTGTAGAAGAAAATGCTTCTCTCTGAGAGAAAACAACTTCAATTACATGTTCCCTATTACAGAAAGGTGGAAATTATCTTCTTTTCAGAAGGTAGAATTAGCCCAATTTGAAATTGAAAAGCAGCCAGAAACATCTTTCACTGATACTTACTTTCCCTTTCATTTTTTATTTCTTGTTCATCTCCAGAAAGTTAGCACATTCCTTTCACTTCACTCACCAAAACTGATCATCAGTTAAATAGCAGTACAGCACATTTCTTATTCAAAAGCCTCACAAGGACCATACTTTTTCATTCAAGTTATTGACTGTCCAAAAACATCACAAACTTTCAGACCAAAAAATCCAGTGCGGTGCCACATAGGATCATAGCATCAACTAGGTTGGAAAAGACCTTTAAGATCATCAAGTCCAGACACCTCTCATAAGTCACTCTCCCAAGAAATACCAAGATTGCCTGTAGCTGTAATTCAGTTTATAATTAAGGCCAACTGATCTCTCTTACAGAGGAGAGGCACCGGAAAAAAAAAA